GGAGTTTCTCCTCAGGCCACCATCTCCTCAGGTATCTCCTGAACTTCGATCCCACAGAGCTGGAACTCTCATGCACCATGCACCTCCAACACCACCCTGAGCGTCACCCTAACACACACCTGATCACAATCTGTTTCCGGAAGCCTTCCTCTATGCCAGGCCCCGTGGTAGGCACAGCAGCAGATAGACCCGCGCACTGGGAGATTGCATTTCTAATAGCCCTCACTCCCACTTTGAGAAACATGATTGGTTCTGGAAAATATCAACTTGGAAGTAATGGGAGGGGGGACTGTAGAAAAGATTCAGATGAAACCATCTTTATAGTCCCTTCCAACCCTACCCCCATCTTCTTGATTTCTCTCTAAGGCAGGCATTTATTAGTTGGATTTCAACACACACACTTGTACCTGTAATTACTATATAATGTCTGTTTACTTTTTTAAACGAAATGAATTTAAATTAATCTTGTTTTGTGAATTTCAAGGCACCCCCTGAGATAAATGAAGACACTCCAGGGTGTCATCAAACCAGTGCTGGGAATCCTTGCTCTAAAATGTGGAGAAGCAGGCTCATTAAACCTTCAAGGAGCCAGAGGGGAGAAATGCATATAGATATACAGGCAGAGAGAACACATTAAAGAAAGAATTTTATAAGTACATTATTCACTTATACTTACACACACACACACACACACACACTAAAAGGTAGTGCACCAAAATGTGGTTATCTTTAGGTGCATTGTCTCCTGTAAACTTAACATCGATGCCTTTCATTTCTAAGTTCTCTGTGCCGCAGAGGAGATGCTGGGAACAACATTTTCAAAACCCCCTTCCCCATCTATCTTGAGTGGCTATGAAAGGCACTCGTGTGAAATTTTGAAGAAGACAGAAGAGACCATTATTTCCTAGAGGCAGGCAAATGCAGGGGAAACGACAAGGGGTGTGTGTGTGTGTGTGGTTGTTTTGTTTTACTTTGTTTTTTTAGAGAGATGTTTTTTGCCATAGGGTGTGTGCACTAGCCAGAGAGACAGAAAGTGAGAAATCACTCTTCTAGAAGGGATGGCCATGCCGCAATCCCTTTTCCTCCATCCTCCTCTCAGGATTTCTGTGTACGCACACGCGCAGTGTGAGTTTCAAGCTACCAGGGCCAGTACTCAAACAGCGGTCAACCATGTGGGAGCCCAGTGACATAACCGCTATGTCATTTGCTGGCCCAAGAGATGCCAAATTTAAGACAGCATCTAGGTGAATATCCTGAGACTCCTTAGGTCAGTAAATGATGCAGACTGAGATCATCAGTGGGAGGTTTCCAGTTGTTCCGGAGATTGACAGTGCACTGGCTTCCAGGCCAGGTCTTCAAGAGCATCTCACTGAGGTGTCACAAGCTAGAATCACCTGGAACCTCTAATGCCTTATGTCGCTTCCCTTCCTACCTCAAAAGCATAAGGTGTCTTCTCTTCTCCTAATTGAACATCAACTAAGAGAAAAGGTAATCATTTCTTTTCTTTTCAGAGGATATGTATTTTAATGCTTTTACAATAAACATATATCATTTGTATAATATAATATAGCAATAAAAGTTTTACATGAGTTTTAAATATATAATAGGACCAGTTCTATGGCTTGGTGGTTGGTGGTTAAGGTAGCTGGATCCCACATTGGCAACTGTGCAGTTCGAATCTCAGACCTGGCAACTTCAGAAACACACTAATACACTGTGTGTGTGTGTGTGTGTGTGTGTGTATCCCCAAAATCCTGAAAAGAGGGAGAGATGGAGAAAAAAGGATTATGGTGTGACCATTCCCCTTGAGAGGTGCTTTCTCCTCTCTCTATCTCTCTTTCTCTGTCTCTCTCTGGTAAGCTCATTCACCTTCTGGATATATATATATGTGTATACATATATATGCACACACACATTGATATGCATGTTAAATGTTCTTTTTTAAAAGAATTATTTTATTTGGGGAGCAGCAGTTAGCATAATGGCTATGTCGCTGGACTCCCATGTAGTCGACCGCAGTTCACGTCCGGGACCCGGTGGCTTAAAGCTCCCACCAGGTGCGTGTGCGTACGTGCCCAAGATCCTGAGAGGAGAATGGAGGAGAAGGGACTGCGGCGTGACCATCCCCCCTGGGGGGCGATTTCTCGCTTTCTGTCTCTCTGTCTCTATCTGTCTGGCGAGCACACATACCCTATGGCAAAAACCTCTAAAAAAAAAAAAAAAGAATTATTTTATTTGACTTTATTTACTTATTTTAATTTGACCAGAAAGAGAGAGACAGAGAGAGAGAAAGTGAGAAAGCAAACCACCAGGTCTGGGACTTGAACCGTAGTCAGCCATGTGGGAGTCCAGCGCCTTTACGACCACACCACTGCCAGCCCCATATGTTAAATGTTCTGATAGAAACGCTATGAGAGCTCAGAAGAAGAGTAGAACACATGAACCGTAAGGGAGCAGGGAGGGCTTCCTAGAGAAGGTGTTCGGTTCTCTGGCTGACTGTGGAGGGAGAGGAGGCGTTGCTGCAGACCAGAGGTGAGCAGGACAGGGCGAGGGTGCAGCCTGGACACGGGCTCATGAGAGCACTCTCCTTCTCTGATGACCCCTATGCTGTTCAGAGTGATGGGACACACACTACAGACAGGAGGTAAGACGAGGCTGAAGTGGAAGCAAGAGGCCTGGAGGGCTTCGTATCCCAGTCTCTCTGTTGTGAGCTTTTTTTTTTTGTTGTTTTATTTTATTATTTCTTATTCACATTTAATCATTATACATCTTTGTGGGGTATAATATGGATTTCAAAGCCTACATGCAGTGTGCAATCATCAAATCAAGGATATTATCGTATTCTTTTCTTTATGCCAGAAGGTGGGTATGCTTACCAGTGAGAGACAGAGAGTGACAGAGGCAAAGAGAGAGGGAAAGTGCGAAAGCTCCCTGCATGGGGGATGGCAACTCTTCTCCATTTCTCCTTTCGAGATTTCAGGCACACATACCCAGTGTGTTTTTTAAGCCGCCAGGACTAGGACTTGAACCTTGTGGCTCAAGTCGACCACGTGGAATCCAGCAGCTTTAGCCACCACACCACCAGCTGGCCCCGCAGTAACTTTCAACAAAGAGCACCACATTATGATATGTACCATTAATTTTTGCTCTGCTGGGTTTTCTTTATTTTTTCAAAGATTTTCAGATAGACATAGAAGATTGGCAAGGTGTGTTTTTCTCACTCAGTCGTGGCATGCCGTTGCACAGACCATGTGCCCCATCTACATGCATTCCCATGTCTACTAAAGGCTTCTTTCCTGAGTTTCTTCTACCCACCCTTTCCTACCTCCCATTCGGTCTCCCTCAGAGGCAATAAGGAGCTACTGAGGAGCTGGAAACGGAAGACCTGTGTTCCGTGAAAGTCAGCACGACTGCACAGAGGAGGCATGTGGGGAGGCTGGAGGAGAGGGCCAGGCAGAGAGCCAAGGAGGTGACGGGTCCTAAGGAGGTCTACTGTGGAGGGGGCACCGGGGGACATGAGAGGAGTCTGTCTGTCCACAGCCCCATCCCTTTTCCTCCCAACTGCAGAGAGGCTGGACGTGCTGAAACTCCAGGGTAATTACTGGGCCAGCTTCTGCCATGTTTGGAACGAGGTTTAAAGGAGGGGAGAATAGGGAGTGATGTTTGAAGCATTCCTCCAGAAAGGAAATCTGAGAACCACACCCTTCCTACGAACAAAAACAGGAAAGGCACATGTACGTTTCTGCATGTTTTTCTTGGACAGCTCCCTAACCTGTAGATAAAGCCTACAGATCGTTCTAATCCTGGACTCTTGGGCATTTCTCCCTGACCTCGGGCTTTCACCCAGGTCACTCAGGCCCCTGTGGGCCCTCTCCCTTTGCTGCTGGGTTCCTCTGCTCACACCCCTGCTCGGCTGCTGCTTCTCAGTTCCAGAGGGGAGACACCTGGAGGTCTCCAAGTCGCCTCCTCTGTGACCAAGCTATGTTTTGAGTGCTACCAGTGACCATCGAGCAGAGCCGCAGGACAAACCTGTCTCTACCGGGCTTCTCAGGTAGAGGTGTGAACGTGATCCACCTGGAGATCCCACAGGTGTGGGGTTGGGCCTGCGAGGCCACATTTCTCACAAGCTCCCGCATGAATCACACCTTGAGAAAAGCACTGCTCTACAAGTGGATGCACGGACAGCCAGGAGCTCAGGAAGATGCCTGAAGGAAACCAGTCACTGACAATTCCTAAGCTCCACTGATTCATCACATTTGTTGCCTTTGAATAGAAAATGAACTGAGTGGTCTGTAGTTTGGGAGATTGGAAACTTAAGGAGGAAAGAGATGAAAAATAAAACAGCAGTTTAGTGAGCAGCAGGTGGCATGGTGATGGCTCGGGGGTGATTTCTCACTTTCCCTCTCTGTCTCCCTCTCTGTTTCTCTTTGACAAGCGCATGGACCTTACAGCAAAATAGTAAAAACAAAAACAAACAAACAAACAAAAAAAAACAGCAATTTAGAAACCTCAGGGGTCAGGCCAGTTGGCAGCGTGATAGTAAAGATGACTGGAGCCCACATGGTCCACAGCATGGTTCAAGTCCCAGATCTGGCATCTTGAAAAATCATACCAGACACTTGTACTTGTGGACCCAAAATCTCAGAGGAGGATGAAGAAAGGGGTGCAGTTTGGCCATACCCACTAGGGGTGCTTTCTCACTCTCTCTGGCAAGCACCTGTGCCTTAAAAGAAAACCTAGTATTGCAACCAATATCCAATATATTAAAGATAAGAAAATAAAATAGATGATAACACATCGCCACAAACTCAGTGGCTAAAGAAATGCATTTATTACTGTTACAGTTCTGCAGGTTCTAAGTCTTATTACAGAGCAGCTGGGTTTTCTGCTCCAGCTCTCACTGGGCTGAAAGCAAGTGCCAGGCAGCCTGTGGCTCAGGGCAGCATGAACCGTAGAAGCGAGAGTCCACCAAACGCTTTTCATTGCCAAGAGGCTCTTACCTAAGCAAGCACTCCACTTTCTGCTCTCGTCTCTGAGGAAAGGCTTTTCAAAATCCCACGCCTGGCCCCGCCTCCTTTCCCCTCTCCAGCTCCCTTCGAGACAGCATCCGGTGTAAGACAGCATTCTCCAACATCCAAGCTACAGTTTGAATGTGCTCCTGGAATGGATTAAAGGCGAAACATAATTTTAGGTTCCATACAGGCAACGGAATTGTCAAAAGTACAAGAAATCAACAAGCAAATTGTGAGATTTCTGTTACAGTGTGTTCTCTAACTACTGTACATAAATCACAAATTTTCAGTAAGACAAAAAAGGAGAAACAAGGAAAAGCTATCAGTGCCATCTTGTGGAAAGACATATTAAAATGTCCAAGATACTCTGGCCACACCCCAGGGCATTTCAAGCCTCCACACCCAAGGGCAGCAGGCACTCAACAGCAGATCTGACGGGTAGGCGCTTCATCCAAATTGCTTGTTTCCTATGTCATGGCTAGTTGTTAAATAATTTGTGCATCATCTCTAACCATACAAATACCACATAAACCTCATACCGTGAACATCTCTCTCTCTCTCTCTCTCTCTCTCTCACACACACACACACACACACACACACAACCTATACCCAGACTACTCTGGTTTGTTCCTTTACACAACATGGTTCTCCAAATGTGGAAAATGTACACACACTCCCCCCAATAAACACATGCGCAGACCACAGTGACTTCAGACCGCAATTGCTTCAAGTATAACTTTTTCCTTTTAATTAACTTTGTATTTATTTCATTTCACTTCTTGAGTTTCTTCTCTCCTCCAAATTGAGTATTTCTGTTTTCTATTGCAACATATCAAATTATTCTAAAATGTGATGGCTTAAAACAGTAAGTATTTATAATCCCAGTTTCTGTCGTAAGAAATTTAGGAAATGCTTCTCTGGGTGGTTCTGGTCCAAAAAATGCATGAGGTTATAGTCAAGATGTTGGGTAAGTCATGTAAAGTCTAGATGGGGTAGAGGATCCAGTTCTAAAACCCTGACTCACTCGCATGGCTGTTAGTAGGAGGCTTCAGTTCCTCACTACCTCGATCTCGCCGTGTGACTGCTTGAGTGTCCTCACAACATGGCAGCTCTTCTTCCCAAGAGAGAACAAAGCCAAAACCGAGTCTTTTGTGAGCCTGCCTAGGAGGTCACTTACCACAAGCCATTCCACAATATCCTACTAGTTTGAAAAACAACCATATCAACATGGAAAAGGATTATATAAGGCATGAGGGGGCTCATGGGGGGCCGTCTCTCGGAGGCTGGCTACCACATCACCCCACCTGAAGTCCAGTGTCCAGATTATCAGGTACTAGATGTAAAATGTGTTTAGACACAGGAAAATCAGAATATATAGGCAATGAAAATTTGGACTGTAGTCCAAAAACTATAGCAACCCAAATCCAGACACTCCTTCCCCTGGAAAGACACAGGAGTCTGCCCAAAGAAAGGAATTTTCTCTGACTTCACCTCTAACTGCCAATATATCAGTCAGTGAACTGGGTCCCCATGCGTGTGAGAATGAGGTCGAAGTAGTTTTATCAGTTGGGGAAGGAGCAGATGAGATGCCCTAGCATGGTTCTGTTGAGCTTCTCAAAGGACAGAGAACAAAATGGGAAGGAAAATCCTTGTCTTCTTAACACTTTTCTGGTGGTCCCAACCCCAAGCTTATCTTTCCCCCACTGAGTTCTTTTGCACTTGTTATTTTTACTGCACAATTTTATTTCTAATATATATATTATTATATATATATAATCTGATAGTCTTTGATTTAACACTTTATTATATGTCCTGAGAATAATTACATCTGAGTCTAAACCCCACCGTCCAAGTATGTTGTAAATTCCTTGAAGTCAGGAGCATTACTTAAGCTTACTACTCAGCCCAACATTAGTCATTAGTGTTGACAGATTGTTCTTCAGGAATAACTCTCACTCACACACACACACACACACACACACACACATCCATGGTATAAGATACATATATATCACAGGACATGCTCTGTAAAGAATAAGGCATATGTGGGGCTGGCAGGTGGCGTGGTGGTTAAAAGTGCTGGATTCCCACATGGCTAACCACGGTCAAGTTCCAGATCTGGTAGCTTGCTTTCTCACTTTCCCTCTCTCTCTCTCTGGTCAAATTAAAATAAATGAATGAATAAATAAAATTAAATATAAATAAATAAATAAAGTTAAATAAAATAATTCTTTTTTAAAAAGAAAAGAAATAATTCTTAAGAAGAAAAAATTTAAAAGAACAAGGCTTATGTATCCCTTTGTACAAAAACAATAATTAGCCTTAGCCAGGATCACACTAACACAGTTACCCTTTCCTTAAAAGTATAGACTTGTTGGGAGCCAGCAGGTGGCACTGAACTCTCACATGGCCGACCACAGTTCAAGTCCCGGACCCGGCAGCTTGAAACACATGCCAGGCACGTGCCCAAAATCCTAAGGAGGAGAGGGAGTTGCAGCACAGCCATCCCCTCTAGGGAGTGATTTCTCACTTTCTGTCTTTCCATTGAGTGCATGTGCCTATAGCAAAAAAAAAAAAGAAAAAGAAAAAAAAAACTTTTTTTTTTTGAGAAGTTTTTGCTATAGGGCACATGCACTCGCCAGAAAGGCAGAGAGGGACAGAGAGATAGAAAGTGAGAAATCACCCTCCAGGGGGGATGGCCATGCCACAATCCCTTCTCCCCCATTCTCCTCTCGGGATCTTGGGCACACACGCACACATGCCTGGCATGAGTTTAAGCCACCGAGTCTGAGACTTGAACCACAGTCGACTACATAGGAGTCCAGGGACATGGCCATTACGCCAACTGCTGGTCCCCCAAAAAAAACTCTCTTAAAAAAAAAAAGTATGGATTTGGTGGGGGCAGCAGGTGGTGTGGTGTTTAAGGCACTGAACTCTCACATTGCTCACTGTGGTTGGAGTCCTGAGCCTGATGGCTTGCTTTCTCACTTTCCCTCTCTCTCTCTGGTCAAATTTTCAAATTAATTAATTAATTAATTCTTTTTTTAAAAAAAGAGTACACCTCAAAGAGATGCTACACCATATTCCACCCAGACCTCAGACTCATGCCATGAAGAAGGACGGTGAATGCACACAGTCACATGGCACCAGAGAGTCACATTCAGTTCCGGAAATGCGCGTGCACTGTCTTGCCAATGCGCTTCTACATACTTATTTCCCACTCATTGCTTTATTTAACGTTTTCGAGCACCATGTATCAGGTTCCATATTAGATGCATGGATTGTAAAGATGAAATGATGTTGTCTTGGCTCCTATGCAAAGAAGTCACCCCAAATCAAAGAAACAACTGCCCTGCTGGGAGGACATATTTATGCAAGGTGAAATGGGAGTGCAAAAAGAGTCTAGATCTTCTGAAAGGTCAACTACCCTTGTGCAGAGAAGGGAGGAGAAGGCGGCCTTTTTCAACTACGTGGAGAGAGAGGGGCCAGGGGCTGACATTGATGGTTGCAGGAGTCTTAGCCAGAACCATCATAGTTTTTCCTCTGGGCCCAAGACAAAAACTAAATGGTACCTACTATGGTCTGGATGCCACTCCCAAAGCAATTTATGTGTTGAGATTTGGTTGCAAAGGGATTAAGAGGGTGGAAACATAATCCTACTATGCTATTAAAGGAGGAGTCTGGGCCAGCAAGTGGCGTGGTGGTTAAGGTGCTGGACTCCCACAAGGAGAACCACATGTCAAGTCCTGGCAGCTAGAAAATCATGTTGGATGCAGGCATGCCCAAAAATCCTAAGAAAAGAATGTCGGAGAAAGGATTATGGTGTGGCCATCACACCTGGGGGGTTATTTCTTGCTTTGCCTCTCTCCATGTGTCTCTCTCTCTCTTTCTCTCTTCAGCAAGTGTACATGCCCAATGGCAAATACCTTTAAAAAAAAAAGTGAGAAAACAAGGTCTTTGGGAGGAGAGGAGGATTAAAGTCATTAGTCACTATTGACTCCTGATGGGTTCATAAGGAGAAAGAGACAAGACACACAGGCAGCCGTGCTGCAGCCTGCCCTCTGGCATGTTCTAAGAGAGCCAAAGGCCCTCCCCAGACGGGGCTCCTGGACCATGGACTTCCAAACCATAAACTCAACAAACCTCCATCCTCTTAAATCACCCATGCTCAGGTATGTCCTGCTATTAGCAACAGAATGGAGTAGTGCCAGGACCTGAGGTGGTGGATGGGCCCTCTGTGTGGGAGCAACAGATTTAGAAAAAACAGACACACACACACACACACACACACACACACACACACACACACAGAAAAAAGCAGGGATTGGGCCCATAGGGTGGACCAGGCATCTCTGAAGGAGATCACCACACTGAGCTGTTCCCAGGTTTTACAGGGCAAAGCGGGGAGAGAAGCAGAAGGTAAAGCCAGGTGTTTTCTATTACCCATGGCGGCTGTGGAACATCTTGCATCTTACGGTTCCTGTGGTTCTAAACAAGCCTCTACCTGGCCTCTGGCTGAAACATAATTTCCTTTCATCTCTGCTGTTTATGCAGCAATGGTCCAAAAGAGTAGGTATCTACGCCATCGTTCAGCTCAGATTCGGTCACTCCCTACAACGGACTAGCACAACCTTGGGACAAAGTTCAGGATAGGGACCCAGCGCCCTTTCTACCTTGAGTATGTTGGGAGGGGAGGAACAGAGCAGCGGAGGAGAGGGAATTCCTAAAAACAGAACCTACCAGCCTTTCTCCACGGAGACTCTGGTGGTTGACAGATGTGCTCCTAGCCCTCCAGAGACCCACGTGATGGAGAAAGCCAGTTATGGGCTCAGGGGAGAAAAGAATCTGTCTCTCTCAAAAATGTCTTCCTTCTGGAGAAGATGAGTCCTGAGCTGGATATCAAGAAAGCAAGGAGAGGGACCAGCAGTTAGCATAATGGCTATGTCGCTGGACTCCCATGTAGTCGACCATGGTTCGAGTCCCGTACCCGGAGGCTTAAACTCATGCTGGGCGCGTGTGCGTGCGTGCCCAGGATCCCGAGAGGAGAATGGAGGAGAAGGGATTACGGCGTGGCCATCCCCCCTGGGAGGTGATTTCTCACTTTCTGTCTCTCTGTCTCTGTCTTTTTGGTGAACACACGTGCCCTATAGCAAAAACCTCTCCAAATAAAAGAAAAAAGAAAGCAAGGAGAGGGCGTAGGAGGGTGGGGAGAGATGTATTTAGTTTCTCCTAATCAGCGAAGGGAGCCTAGAAAGAAGAGTAAGGCAAGGGACTAAGAAACATCGACCCACAAGGGCCAAGCAGTGGGGTCTTGTTTCCAGGCTGTACAGCCAGAAATCCTGGGGAGCAGCTGGACCAAAGAAGGAAGTGAGGGAGGGCAGGGGTTACTGGTGGGAAGGGGGCTAAGAAATGAATCAGGGTGGGCAAGAAAGCTTGATAGGGAGATATGTGGGAAATGGGAGCCCAAACAGGAAAGGCCTTGTCAGGGCTGGAAGTGCAGGGAAGAAAGGGGGCAATCTGGCTGCCCTGGGACCTGGAAGAATAGTCGGCTAGGTAAATCGTAAAGTGCATTTGCCACGGGGTCAGAACAGGCTTTGAACTGTGGGGAAGAGACTTTTTTTTTTTTTTTAATTTGCTGGCACCAGAAGTTTAAACGGTCAAATGTGTGTGTCAGGGGTAGGTGGGGCAGAGAGAGGAAAGAATCCACCTGGCCAAGTGCCCCAGGCTCGGATCAGTGTGTCCTTGGCCACGGTAACCAACTTCTCTAGGCCTCGGATTACTCACGTACCGACAGGAGCACTTTCCCTATGTGGTTCTTCCAGAAAGCGCCTGGCACAAGGCCTGGTAAGCAAATACGAGAAGGGTTAACAGCTTTCATAACTATGGGTAGGCTGATTCACTAGAAGCACATTATTCCAATGAGGATTTGGACTGGTCCGATGGCAGCTGAGACACTGCGTTCGGATCTAGGTCCTTCCCTGAACCCTCCCAAAAAGCCAGCACTGATAATTGGGACCAGCAGTTGGCGTAATGGCTATGTCGCTGGACTCCCATGTAGTCGACTGCGGTTCACATCCCGGACGCGGTGGCTTAAAACACCAGGCGCATGTGTGTGCATGCCCAAGATCCCAAGAGGAGAATAGAGGAGAAGGGATTGTAGCATGGCCATGCCCCCTAGGGGGTGATTTTTTCTCGCTTTCTGTCTCTCTGTTTCTCTCTGTCTCTCTGGCAAGCGCACACAACCTATTGTAGAAACCTCTCAAAAATAAATAAATAAATAAATAAATAAACAGCACTGATAAACTCTGGGTGACCCAAAGAGCTTGGAAACCTTGGAATATGAAGAAATATGAATATCAATAAAAAATATGAAAACTCACAGCTGTTGGACCAGCAGATGGCGTAACAGGTCACTGGACTTCCCCATGGCTCACCTGGTTAAAGTCCTGAACCCACTGACATGAAATTCACGCAGACACATGTGCATGCCTGCCCAAGATCCCCGGAAGAGAATGGAGAAGGGGTTGCAGTATGTCCTGGGGGACAATTTTTCACTTTTCCTCTCACTGTGTCTCTGTCTCTGTCTCTCTCTCTCTCCTGCCAGCAGGTTCCCTATGGCAAAACTCTTAAAATAAAAAAAAAACTCACAGCTGTTTAATCCAGATGATATTCAGGGGCATGAGGGTGGTGATATGAAAAGAAAGTAATTTTCTGTTTACTTTAAGAAACAGCACTGTATTGTTATAGATTCTGGAACCACCGACCAGCAGTTGGTCAACTTTCTTAACTGCTCCAGTGCCTCAGTTTACTCACCTATAAAATGGGTTAGTTAGATCATCTACCTTATAAGATTATTGTGGCGATTAAATGACTTAATACCTGGAAGGCACTTAGAAGATATCTGGCACATAGTAAATGCTCAGTAAACGTTCATTTTTATGTTGTTGGCTGTTGTTATTACCACAGGCACTGCCCTGGGTAAGACTTGAGAGCTCAGCCCAGAAATGGAGAAGCTGTGAATAGCCACCTGTGCAGGAATGAGTTCCTCCTACCAGAAGAATTCAAAAAGTCACTGCTAATGACAAGTCAGCCATTGGAGAAACGTCCTCCCTCTGGGCGGAAATAGATTTCTCATCTCTCACACTCAGGGATCCACTGCGAAGCAAGTAAAGGCAAGGCCAGTAACTCCAACACACCGCCAGGGAGCAGCAGAGCCCGACCCCGGGTTGCCTCGCCCACAGAAAACAATTCCGAATTCGTTCTAGGTTTTCCTTCTCCGGTCTCCCGCCTGTTACTGATCACTCAACCAAGCGACTTCCTGCTCAGACTGAACCTATCGCCGGTCTACTCGGGATCTCTAGAGCCAGGTTTCGCGTTCTAGCCACGCCTCCAGTCGGCTCGGCCAATCTCCAGCAGCGGGGTTGACGTCACCGGGGGCGGGGTCCCGCAGACCACGTGGCCCTGGAGGCAGCAGTGCCGGGTAGGTAATGGGTACCGCTGCTCAGAGCAGGGGAGGAGACGAGTGGGCGGGGCGGACGGGGGGGCTTCTCCCCCAGTGACCCGCAGCCCTGTGCCCTCCCCCAGCAATGGGCGTGCAGCCCCCCAACTTCTCCTGGGTGCTCCCAGGCCGGCTGGCGGGGCTGGCGCTGCCGCGGCTGCCCGAGCACTACCAGTTCCTGCTGGACCTTGGCGTGAAGCACCTGGTGTCCCTGACGGAGCGCGGGCCTCCGCACAGCGACAGCTGTCCGGGCCTCACCCTGCACCGACTGCGCATCCCAGACTTCTGTCCGCCCGCCCCGGACCAGATCGACAGCTTCGTGCAGATCGTGGACCAGGCCAACGCCTGCGGCGAGGTCAGCGCAGGGAGGGAGGTACCTGGGAGGGGTCAGTGTGGGTCGTAGGCGGAGCTGGGGACAGCAGGGCCGGGAATGACTTAGCTGGGCTGGGAGAGAGACTGCGGGAAGACAGTTGGGCCGGTATCCCGCGAATGCACAACGACCTAAAGCCCAGACGGATGGGGGTGGGGGGCACTGTGAGGGAGTGAATGCGAGAGCGAAGCCAGGCCAGCCTGGCTTGAGGTGAGGCCCCGAGGAACCAGCTAGTAACTGTAGACTGGGGAGAAGTGGAGCTGAAGTCAGACGGAGGCATGTTCTAGAGCAGTGCTGTCCACATAACTTGGAGTTACAGATGTAATTTGAAATTTTCTAGCAGCCACATCTTTAAAAAATAAAAAGCAAATGAAATTAATTTAAGTAATATAATTTACCCCAGTAAGGCAAAAATATTCAGCACATACTCAATATAAAATTATTTTTTAAGAGAGGTTTTTGCTGTAAGGCGCTTGAGAGACCGACAGAAAGCAAGAAATTACCTGCCAGGGAGAATAGCCTGTCCAATCTGGGATCTCTCTGATTTGGGGCACACAGGCACATGCGCCCAGCATGAGTTGTAAGCCTCCAGGTCTAGGATCCAAACCAGGGTAGGCCATGTGGGAGTCCAGCGTAACCATTACGCCACCTGCTGGTCCCATAAAATAAATTCTTAATGAGATACTTTCACTTTCTCTTGTACCACATCCCCAACCCTGTTGTGTATCTTACACACTGCAATATCCCACCCATTATCAATCATCATTTTGGGGGCGCCCCATTTCAAGTATAGGATAGCCCCACCTGGCTTCTGGCTTCCTTATTGGACAGCCAAGGAGAGGGTAGTGTGGAAGGAGGCCAGGAGGCTGGCTCTGGAACCTGCAATTCAGAGTCAAATGGTGGCCTCCAGGCCTTCCTGCAGTCCCCTTTGGCCTCTGAGACCCGAGACCTGTGCAGAGCCCTGGGCCTGACCCAGAAACCTAGGCTGACAAAGAGGAAGGGACTGGCCGAGCTGGGGCAAGAGAGTGTCAGGGAGGGTGTTGGGCTCCACCCCATCAAACTCCCTCTCCACAGGCCGTAGCAGTGCACTGCGCCCTGGGCTTTGGCCGCACTGGCACCATGCTGGCCTGTTACCTGGTGAAGGAGCGTGGCTTGGCAGCTGGAGACGCCATCGCTGAAATCCGGCGCCTTCGACCCGGCTCCATCGAGACCTACGAGCAGGAGAAAGCAGTGTTCCAGTTCTACCAGCGAACTAAATAAGGGGCCTCTGCACCCTCTGCCCTCCCCTGCCCTGGGTGGTAGGTGGGGCCAGAGACTATAAAGCGTTAAACCCTCCAGCTCCACTGTCACCTTGAATAGCAGTTCACAAAGCACTCCCGCACATATGGTCTCAGACGCATGCTAGCCCCGAGTCTAGGAAAAGCAGAAAAGCCTTCGCTATTTTGGGGGTAAGGCCCAAAGTCATACTGCTAGAATGTAGAAGGATGAGCCAGGACTGTAAGTCTTCAATCTCCCAAAGGTGCCGAAATTTTGTGTATCTGTTCTCTGACGACATCTGATGTGGTTTCTAGGGAACTGACAATGAAAAGGATGCCCTTCCACAGCAGCCCGGCCTCCCAGCATCTTGATCTCTGAGGCCCATAGGCCAGGAGGACCCCTCATGGTGGGCCCCTGGTCCACATGACATGCTTGTACCTCTTAGGGTGGGGAAGGCTGGATGTCAAGCTCCCAGATGACTGTGGTCTTCTCCCCACAGCAGAACACCTCTTGTCGCCCATGGGCGCCCAGCCTATCTGGGACCCCCAGCCAGCTCCTCTAGCCCACAGCCTCAGGCCAGGGGCTGCTGGAACCAGGCCCATCTGAGCAGCTGAGCAAAGCAGATACTTGACAGTTACACCGAGATCTCTAGGCCTGTGAGTCCTGGCCATGTTTCTCAGATGTCCCCTTTCACCTTTCCCTGCGGGACCCCTTTCTGCCATCACTACCATTGCACTTTGGGCTCTTGAGCAATGGGGCAAATGACAAATAGTCACCCGATGGCCTCTTTGCTATACCAGCCACTGCTGTGGCAGGCTGGGCTGAATAAGCTAGAAGTTCATCACGACATACGTCCTGAGTGCCTGCATGTACTAGGCTCTGTTAGAAACAGGCTACCCCAGGGACCAGCAGTTAGCGTAATGGCTATGTCGCTGGACTCCCATGTAGTCAACCGCGGTTCGCGTCCCGAACCCGGTGGCTTAAAACTCATGCCGGGCGCGTGTGCGTGTGTGCCCAAGATCCCGAGAGGAGAATGGAGGAGAAGGGATTGCGGCGTGACCATCCCCCCGGGGGGTGATTTCTCGCTTTCTGTCTCTCTGTCTCTGTCTGTCTGGCGAGCGCATGCCCCCTATAGCAAAAACCTCTTAAAAAAAAAAAAAAAACAGGCTACCCCGCGCCATGACACGTGATTCCTGCCCCAGCGGCTCACAGCCTCCCAAAGAAGGTGGGCACAGGGAGAGTCCACCACATCTGGTGGTACCGTGGAGAGGCACATCTGAGTGCAGTGGAGACAAGGCAGGGAGGGGCCCAGTGAGCCCCCCCACCTCTCATAGCCCAGACCAGAGCCAGGCCCCGCCAGCAGCCCCTCACTACTTCCCTCTGCCTTCCACCACTACCCACCCACCTCAGCCCTACCTGGCTCTCCCTTAGACAAAAGGAATATCAACTGACATCTTGCCAGGCTGAAAAAGGGGCCATCGATGTCTCCCCCCCTGCGTTTTTTCTCTGTGTCAAATCTGAGTGATCAGTTCCCTTACTCTGCTCCTTGGTCCTCACCTGGCCTACCCGGCTGAGAACATCTGCCACTGAGGGAAAGCCTTCAATTACGGGCATTCGATCTCAACGGAGGAATGAGAAATAACAGAGAACTTTCTGAGTGAGACCCTTATTCTTATCCCATCAAAAGTTCCCTCTGCCCTGCCCTCCCCCACCGCACAGCCCATTCCATTTCTGGAAACAAACCAGAGCACCTTCCAAAGGAGTATGTACATGCCTGGCTGTATGTACGCATGCATGTGATGTGTGTGTGTGTGTGTATATGCATGTGTGTGTAGGTTCTCTTGAAGGGAGGGGTGGAGGAAGAGTACCGATGGGCCACTTCCTGGGCCCCTTCCCTCTGCTCTGAGGGCTTACCAGGATGGGGAGAGAAAGGTGGGAGGCTAGAAGCTACATCCAGGGTTCACGTCCACTCTGGTCCTGACCTCCCAGGCTGTATAGCCAGTCCTGACCCTGCCTCCCTCTCCATCCTTAACTCTCTCCACCCTTCCTGCGTTCTCTGCACTGCGGGAGAGGAATCTGTCCTTCCCTTCCTCCCAAGGCTCCTTCGAAGGAGACAGAAAATTTCTCTAACCCCATTAAAGCCCTGTGTACAGCCTCCATCCCCATAATTTAAGCAGGTCTCCTCTGCTTCAAGAGTTCCCTAGGGAAATAAACATATAATTATGTGCTTAAGGAAATTGCTTCTTAAATAAGTAAGAGTTGACTTGAAATGAAAAACTCTCCCCTTATCTTTCCATCTACCTTGGGAGGTTAGCCTGGGGCTCCCTTTCAGTTCATTCCCACCCCACCACTTTGCCTTGTGTATAGGAGGAAGTGACAGGTGAGCCATGACCCTCCCCCTGCTCCCCTGAGGTATGATCAGTGCCAGGAACAAGCCACCTCCATCTAAGGACGTTTGAATCAGACCAGGGCTTCTCACCCTGGGCACCACTGACACACGGGACTGGGTCATTCTCTCTGATGGGGGGCCATCTGTGCTTTGTAGATTTCAACAGCATCCCTGACTTCTGCCCACTTGACTCCAGTAGCAGCCCCCCGCCATGTGAAAACCAAAAATGTCTCTAGACATTGTCTCATATTCCCTGGAGGAATAACACCTGCCCCTGTTAAGGACACCGTGTCAGGCCGACAAGCCCCAGAAGGAGCCCTCACCTTTCCTTTCCTCTGGGAGCAGAGGCGGGAGCACACTTGGGAATTGCCCTGTGGTTGCACACAACTCAGTGCAGGAGAAGGGGCAACCCTAACCAGCCATGCCCAGTCTCTCCACCATTCCCCACCTTTTTCTGGAAACCAGGCTGGGTTTCCATGACGATGATGAATACCATGAACTTTCTCCAGGCAGGAGAGTTTTATTCTCAGTGAATTTGCTGGGGGCACAGCTGCAGTAACATCTACCTCCACCCCCGTGCCTTTTAAAAATTCCGTCCATGTTTATCTCTGGTATGTGATCAGCGTTCTCTACGGCAGAGACTTTTCTGTCTGGAAAACTCTCTGCATCTCCTGAGCTCTGCAGCAATCACCTTTTGGATTCCTTTCCCAGAAAATTGTTTGCATGCAGAAACAGGAGTCAGGATGGGAGGAGCACCAAGAAGACTCTTTCCTGTCCTCCTCTTCCATCTCCACCTTCCCCGCAAGACCCTTTCACTGGGGCCCTTCTGCTTTCTGGGATCTAGTTTCTATGGCTGCCTCATAGACCGTGTGTCCCAATATGCAGCCACCTGCTGCAGAAATTAGACTCCTGTGTATGTACTGTACTGAGGCTGCCCTCGGCCTCCCTTGGAGCTGTCTGTGGTCCTTACCCTGTGTAACCTGCAGGGATCTCTTCCATGGCGAGCTCATAGCTGACCTTCCTCTGGCTGCAGAGGTCTGCTCCACTTGCACGCCCGTCCCCTGCTCCCCTACTCCATTATCCCCAGAAGCAGGTCTTCCTGGGCAATGATGACCATATAACTTGGGGCAGGGTTTGTTCCAAACCATAAGCCATTTCCCAGGATGAAATGCACCCATTTGCCAAACTTCAAATCAAATCTTTTGCTGTCTATGTCTTGCCATTCTTGCTGAGAGTGAAACTAATTTGGTCTCACCGGATTGTTTTATCACAAAACAATGTCAATTACCACTAATGCATTCACACTTTGTCGTGACCATCCTTTGCTTACTCATACGCTCATAATTGCCTTCGTTTACAAAGCGCTTACCATGGAGCAGGTGTCTTGCATACACTGCATTATACTATTTTATTTTATCCTTGCAACAACTCCGGAAGTCGGGTAATTTTTACTTTCTCAAGAAGAGAGAACTGAGATGTAGAAAGATGAGTAACAGGCCCAAAGCCACATGCTAGTATTGAAGGGGCGGGGTTCTAAAGGCAGGTCGTAACTCCAGAGTTCATGCTGCTTTGGTCAGGACATGTCCTAGTTCCAGGGACACAGCAGAGCCTGTCTCCATGACCAAGCTTGGCTCTCCTAGGCCATCTTAAGAGCATGCTCTCCAGGGACCATCCTTTCCATTTTCTCAGGAGTCCAGAAAACAACCCTTCGCCTGACACGGAAGTCAATGACACCTGAGTTGGGTGCTGTTCTTTAAAGTGTGGCCTGAAGAGCCGGATAGTGGCTCAGTGTAAGACAAGACACTGTGAGGCTGACCCTGGTGAGAAGGTTCCGGGCTCAGGTCCAGAGACCTCCCTGAGTACACTGGGCACGTGCCTGCCTGTGATCCAGGGCCGTCTAAAGCTGGGGGTGGATTGCAGCCTCAAGACACTGTTAGGAGCATTGTCTGTCTGTCCGTCTGTCTCTCTCCCCTTCGTGGAATAAATGGATAAACAAACTGTAATCAAATAAAGTGTGGTCTGAGCGGTTAAGGCCGAAACAGTGAAGCATGGGGAAGTTTCTGTCACACCCACTGTTAGCTAATTCAGAGTACACAGCCGTCCTCACCCAGCGCCACAGCCTTGAGGCATGTGTGGCTGGCACTGAGCCCCCCAAAATGCCTTTTTATGTCTGATGAGTCATTAAAACTCTAATACCCTTTCTGGGATTGTTGTCGTTTGAGCCCTAAAGACATGCCAGGCACCCTGCCAAGTGCTTTTCAGACATTATCTCATTCGCACCTCAAAACATAAAGCCTGTGGACTAAGTAGTGTTGCAACAACCCTGTCCGCGGATGAGTAAATTGAGACCCAGAGAGTGAAAGCTACTCCTCCAAGTCACACAGTAGAGCATCATTCACACTTGGGGCTACGAACGGCCTTCCCTCTTGGGAGCAGAGAGTTTGTTGTAATTAGAAAATACATAAGAGCATCTTGTGCTCCCAAGACCCACTATTGACTCCCTGATCACTGGCTTGCCAGGCACTGCTGTCCGAGTACCCAGCTCCGCAGCTCCAACCTGGAAATGCGCCGGCCGCCAGCAGTCATCTCTGAACAGACTTCTACCTCCAGCCTCCAACCCCACCAAAAATGGAGTCCCCTGTTGATTTGGAAATGAGTTGCATGAGCACTTCCTCCATTACTTTTCAAATG